CCCTCCCCCCCCCTCCTTTCACCTCTCTTCCTCCTCTCTCCCCTTTTCTCCTCTCTCTGCTAGGAATCAAACCCAAGGTACTAGACCAGTAGCCCTGAGCTACAATCTTCCAATCACTTCTAGGCTTTCTTTTTTTTTTTTTTTTTTTAAGTGTTTTTGAGACAGGGTCTCCCTGTAGTCCCAGCTGACCTGAACTCACTATATAGACCAGGCTAGCCTTGAACTCAGAACGATCTGCCTACCTCTGCCTCCCGAGTGCTGGGACTAAAGGCATGTGCCATCACACCCAGCCATTTTTTTGGTCTTTTTGAGACAGGATCTCCCTCTAGCCAGAGCTGTCCTGGAATTCCCTATATAGACCAAGCTGGCCCCATTCTCACAGAGATCCACCTGCCTCTGCCTCCCAAGCAATGGGATTAAAGATATACACCACTACACCCAGCTCCCTTCCAGTTTTCAAAATTACAGATACGATTGGATATAAATACCACATACAACGATTTGTTGTCTACGTGACACATCATGGATTATGAGTTACTTTGTACATTTTTTAAAATCATTTTCAAAAGGTAACTGAAAGCTTTTTATTTCCAGGGGTACCTGTCTTTCCTGGTGCCCTCCTCCTTAGTGGATCATTTATATCTCCTGCCTGATGAACATCTTTTGACAGAGGATGAGACAACCATATCTGATGGTAATAATAATAATTCTGTCTGTGCTTGACCCTCTTCCTATGCTAACCTTATGCTTTATTTCAAATGGACATGGAAGTTATTGGTTGCCTCTGTGACCTGTCCTTATCTACTTATGCACTAAAGATATTTTTTAGAAAGCTGGAGAGGCTTAAGCATCTCTGAGCCCTAAGACCCCATGCATCTAGCTATTAATATTTTTTGAATATATTGATCAGTAGATCTTCACTGGCTTGAGCCATCACTGTTAACTTTCTCTTACTCATAGATGTAGATATTGCTCGGGATGTCATGTGTCTTATAAAATGCCTTCGGCTGATTGGAGAGTCAGTCACTATGGATATGACAGTTTTGATGGAAACCAGTTGTTACAACCTTCAGTCTCCAGAAAAGGCTGCAGAACACATTCTGGAAGATTTGATCACTATTGACGTGTAAGGAGAATTTAGGGTAAAGTACATTTCCTAATGGAATTCAGCAGAGGGGTTTTTGTTTGTTTTTTTGTTGTGTGTATGAGGAATAGTGGTTTCATGTTTTTTGTGGTTCTTGAGGAAGAACCCGAGGCCTCGTGCATTCTAGGCAAGTGCTCTACCACTAAAGTACTTCCCCAGCCCCTGTTGCAATTTTAATTTTTTTTTAAATATTTTATTTTTATTATTTTATGTGTATGAGTGTATTGCCTGCATGCATGTTTGTGCACCATGTGGTGCAGTGCCATGGAGGTCAAAAGAGGGTTTCAGATTCCCCTGGAACTGGAGTTAAGGATGGTCCGTAGCCACCATGTGGGTGCTGGGAATCGAACCCAGGTCCTCTGCAAGAGCAGTCAGTGCTCTTAACCGCTGAGCCATCTCTCCAGTCCCCAGATTTTAAATTCATTTCTATTTTATGTGTATAAGTGCTTTGTCTGCATGTATGTAAGTGTACCCATGTCATGCAAAGCCTGCAGAGGCCAGAAGTGGGGGTCAGAGCTTCTGAAACTGGACTTAAGGATGGTTGTTAGCCGTCATGTGTGTCCTGGGACTCAAACCCAAGTCCTCTGGAAAAGCAGCCAATGCTCTTGACCACTGATCCATCTCTCCAGCCCGTGTTGCAGATTTTAAATAGAAAAAAATGAGCATATATCTTCAGATATGGAAGTAAAAATTATTATGCATCTATAACCTCTTAACTGAGCTAGAGATTTTTTTTTTTAATATTTTATTATTTTTATTTTATGTGTACGAGTGTATTGTCTGCATGTATGTGAGTGCACCCGTGTCATGCAATGCCGTGGAAGTCAAGAGGGCGTCAGAAACCCCTGGAACTGGAGTTAAGGATGGTTCGTAGCTGTCATGTGGGTGCTGGGAATCAAACCCAGGTTCTCTGCAAGAGCAGTCAGTGCTCTTAACCTCTGAGCCATCTCTCCAGCCCTGTGAGCTAGAGATTTTTTAAAAATACAAGTATTACCATGGTCATGTTGTTCACTGCTATAAAGAAGAGGAGAATTTTTATTATGTGGGGTATTAATATCTTGTGTGCCAAAATGATTATCTCCACTCCTTCACCATGAGGCTTGCTTTCCTGTTTCACAAAACATTTAGGTTACAGCACACACACAGTCAGTCTCACATGGGGTCAGTAGTAATGGGAATTTTATCATTGTGCTTATAGAGAAAATGTGATGGAAGACATTTGTAGCAAACTCCAAGAGATCAGGAACCCTGTCCATGCCATTGGACTTCTCATACGCGAAATGGATTATGAAACAGAAGTGGAGATGGAGAAGGGATTCGATTCAGGTACATGACAGCACAGCGAATGTTTAATTTAGAGAAAACAGTGATTCATTTAACTCCATTTCCCTTTTTAATTTTGTGTGTCTGTGTCGAAGTCTGTGTCTGTGTCTGTGCATATGGTGTGGTGAACATGCAGAGGTCCAAGGATAGCTTGTGGGAGAAGGTGCTGTCCTATCTTGAGAGTTCTGGGGATTGAACTCAAGCTGTCGGGCTTGGCAGCAGGTTGCTCTGCTGAACCATCTTGCCTGTCTTTAACTCCATTTTTTCTTGTTACAGCTCAGCCTTTGAGTGTTCGAATGAATCTTTCCCAGCTCTATGGCAGTAGCACAGCAGGGTACATTGTGTGCAGAGCTGTGTACAAAATTGCCAGTACTCGCTTCCTGATCTGCCGAGACCTTTTGATCTTACAGCAGCTATTAACAAGGCTAGGCGATGCAGTAAGTACTTGAGGGAAAACTTGTGAAGTCCAAAACCTGGTAGAAATGTGCTGACACTTAGCAGGATAGCAGTGCTAAGAGCACAGAGACTTTATTCACTGCTTTGTAACCTCAGCCTTGGCCTGACCAGGGCTCTACAAGTATCTGTGGAAATGAATTGTTCTGACAGAACAAAAGCAGTCTAAGGAAGGAAGGTTTATTTTTGCTCACAGTTTGAAGGTGCAGTCTGTTGTGACTACAGGAGTGTTAGGCAGCTGGTCACATTGCTCCACAGTCAGGAAGCAGAGAGACAGATACTGGTACTCACTTTACCTACCCCCACCCCCTTTATTTAAATGAAAAGATATCTTAAATATAGATTTTAAGCCTAAGGGTTAGGGGAGAGAGAGGTCTCAAAAAAGAAAGCCACACCAAGGCTGTGAATGTCAGCTTCTCTAAAACAGGCCTCACTTGTCACTTTCTCCCTTTTATTCTGTGTGGAACCCAGCCCTAAGTAGTATATCCAACCTTTATAGAAGCATCCTCATAAATGTTTCCATGGTAATTCTAAATCTTACCAACAAAATTAATCACAAAAGTATAAATAAGCACCATAATCTGACATACTGAGACTATATGTGAAGCAGATCACTGCTAGTAACCTTTCGGTGTATAGTAGTACAGATTCTCTCAGGTCAGCTCTCTCAAGGTGTAATCTTAGTACTACTTTGGATGTGATAGCAGAATACCCTAAATGTAAAGGAAAAGGGAAGAAGAACAGGAATTTGTCTTCAGGACAGGGTGCACCTTTAAACAGTGAGCTGTCTCTACAGCCCCAAGTTTTGTTTTGTTTTGTTTTTTTAAATCTGTGAATTTTTCCATTTCTTCAAGTTTTCTAAGGGTTTTTTTATTGTAATCATTACTATGTGTTTTTTTTGTTGTTCTTTTTGAGACAGGGTCTCCCTGTATGTAGCCCCAGCTGTCCTGGAACTCACTATGTAGATCAGGCTGGCCTTGAACTCACAGAGATCCTCCTGCCTCTGCCTCCTGAGTGCTGGGATCAAAGGCGTGTGCCACCACGCCCGGCTACTATTATGTTTTTGGTGTGTGAATATGTGCAGTGCTGGAGATTGAACTCAGAGCCGTGCACATGCCAAGCAAGTGTTCTACAAATAAGGGCTACATTCCCAACCCTCCTTTACCTTTTTACAATAAACACAGAAGCAATTCATTGTAGAACCTTTATAAAATACATGTAATGCCAGGTGGTGGCGCATGCCTTTAATCTCAACACTCAGGAGACAGAGGTAGGTGGATCTCTGTGAGATAGAGGCCAGCCTGGAGCTACAGGGAGACCCTTTCTCAAAAAACCAATAAATAAAGACAGGTGTGGTGGCACATGCTTTTAATACCAGCACTGGCTACAAGAAGATGATCTCAAAAAGACCAAAAAAAAGAAAAACAAATAAATAAATAAAACACATGTAAACTAAAAATAGTCTATAATCTTCTTTTAAAGATTTATTTTTAGGCAGGCTTGGTGGTGCATGCCTTTAAAAATCCTAGCAGTCCGGGAGGCAGAGGCAGGTGGATCTCTGTGAGTTCGAGTCCAGCCTGGTCTATGTAGTTCCAAGACAGCTGGGACTACAGGTAGACCCTGCCTTGAGAGGAAAAAATTTATTTTATTTTCATTTACATGAATGTGTTTGGCCATGCCTGTGTGCCACATACATGCAGGTGCCTGAGGAAGCAAGAGGCTGTCAGCTGGAGCTGGGGTTACAGGCGGTTGTAAGCTGCCAGACTCCTAGGTGTCAGGAACCAAACTCAGGTCCTCTGCAAGAGCAGCAAGTGCTCTAAACTGCTGAGCTACCTCTCCAGTCCCATAACCTGTAATCTTCCACCCAGTAATTAACCAGTGTATACATTTTAGTATATACTCCTTTTCTACATAAATCTTTTTGTTATAGTTGTTTTGTTTCTAAAATTAGAGTACATTACTTAGTATTTTAATAGCTACCTGGTACCATTTTAACTTATTCAACCATTCTTTGTGGCCATCTATGATGTTGTCACTTTTTCCCTTTAGTAGAAATAGGAGTTTGTTCAGGATCTCATGTAGCCCAGGATGGTCTCAAATTCACTATGTAGCCAAAGCTGTTTTTCAGTATCTGATCTTCCTGCCTTTACCTCCCATGTGCTTAAAAAGCAGGCATGGGCCAGGCATGATGGTGCACGCCTTTAATCCCACCACTTGGGGGGTGGAGGCAGGCGGATCTTTGTGAGTTTGAGGCCAGCCTGGTCTACATAGTGAGTTCCAGGACAGCTGGAGCTACAGAGAGACCCTGTCTTAAAAAGACAAAAAAAAAAAAGCAGGCATGGACCATCATACCTAGCTTCCTTAAAGCTATTACATTCTGTACATTTTTTTTTTACTGTGCCACTTGTGTGAGGTCTAAGGAGTAGAGTTGCTTAGTTACAGACTGTGCACTTTATTTTTTCTCTTTTTTTTTTTTTTTTTTTTTTTTTTTTTTTTTCTTTTGAGACAGGGTCTCCCTGTAGCCCCAGCTGACCTGGAACTCACTAGGTAGACCAGGCTGGCCTTGAACTCACAGAGATCCACCTGCCTCTGCCTCCCGAGTGCCTGGATTAAAGGAGTACGACGCTATGCCCAGCAGCTATGCACATTTTTAAGACTGGATATTATTGTCAGATTTGCTTCTTTTGGTCACACACCCTTTTTTACACTACACCTTTGCAGTTCTGAGCCCACAGATCTAATAAAGCTTCTTTTCACTCAACTTCCATGAGTCAGAGAATTGTTTTTCTTATTTTTTTGGATTGTTAATGTATGACAGGATATTTTGCCAGTTGTTACCCAAAATGTATTAGTTGTATTGCCTTTATACTATTCTGTTCTTTGTAGCTATAGTATTTTACTTACTCCACCTGGTCCTTGGATGTTACCTTCCTAATGGTGTTGCTTTACCATCTCTCCTGTCATATAGGTGATTTTGGGAGCTAGTCAGCTCTTTCAAGCTCAGCAAGACCTCCTGCATCGAACAGCTCCCCTGCTCTTATCTTATTACCTCATTAAATGGGCAAGTCAGTGCTTGGCAACTGATGTTCCAGTTGACACACTGTGAGTTTCATTTTCCTAGTTTTTTGTTGTTGTTGGTGGTGGTCTTTTTGAAACAGGGTCTCCCTGTAGCCCCAGCTGGCCTGGAACTCTCTGTGTAGACCAAGCTGGCCTTGAACTCAGAGAGATCCACTCACCTCTACCTCCCAAGTGCTGGGACTACAGGCATGCACCACCATGCCTGGCTTCATTTTTTTTTAAGCAAGTTGATTTTGGTGTGGTGGCATAGCACTCAGGGCAAAGGCGGGCAGACGGAGCTAAGCGAGTTTGAAGCCATCCTGGTCTATAGTAAGTTCTAAGCCAGCCAGGCCTACTTGGTGAGAGCCTATCTCAATAATAATAATAATAATTTGGAGGTTTTTTTGGTTGGTTGGTTGGTTGGTTGGTTTGGGTTTTCATGGTGCCAAAAATTGAGCTAGAGCCTGAAGGTTTTTTTTTTTTTTTTAAGCATTATGCTGTAAAAAACATTTTTGCCAGGTTGCCAGGGCTGGAGAGATGGCTCAATGATTAAAAGTACTTGTTGCTCTCGCAGAGGATCCTGGTTTGATTCCCAGCACCCAGTTCCAGAGGGTCCGATGCTCTCTTCTGGCCACAACAGGTGCCAAGCACATATGTAGTACACATACATACATGTAGGCAAAACACACATATAAAAAATAAAAATAAATATTTTTATTTTGAGACAGGATCTTACCATGTAACCCTGAATGACCCAAAACTCACTTTGTAAACCAGGCTGGCCTTGAACTCACAAAGATCTGCCTGCCTCTGCCTCGAGAGTGCTAGGATTAAATGCATGCACAGCCACATCTGGCCAAAAATGAAAAAATCTTAAATTAATAAAAATACAAATACCTGACAAAGGCAACTCAAGGGAGAAGCGTTTATCTCTGCTCACAGCCGAAGGGTGCAGTCCCTCATGGCAGGGAAGTTAGGCAGCAGGTGCCTGAATTAGCTGGTCACTTTGCTCCACAATTGGGAAACAGAGTGGTGAAGGAATGCTAGCACTCATCTGTTCCCCACTTTTATACAGTCCTGAACTCCCTGCCTAGGGAGTAGTGCTGCTCATAATAGTGAAAATAGGTCTTCCCACATCAGTTAACACAATCAAGATGATCCTTTATAGGTGTGCCTGGAAGCCTGCCTCCTAAGTGACTCTAGATCCTATCATGTAGACCACACTACCATCCCAGTAAGGGGACCATCCTTTTGCTCTGATACACAGTGCAGTAATATCATGGGTTTATTAAATTTGGGCGTGGTGGCACACAGTTTTAATCCCAGCACTCGAGAGGCACAGGCAGGCCAATCTCTGTGAGTTCAAGGCCAGACTGATCTGCATAGTGAGTTCTAGGTCAGCTGTGGCTATAGGGTGACCTTGTCTCCAAAAAAGACAAAAGAATTTATTACACTGTTTTTTCTTTTTCTCACAGGGAGTCTAATCTGCAGCATTTGTCAGTACTGGAACTAACAGATTCTGGTCCCTTAATGGCAAATAAGTTGGGTAAGGAGTGGGCTGTGTAGATTGGCTTTCATTTGGGATTTAGTGTGTATTTATTCAAATGTTCTTTTTGCCACCTTTGTTGTGGAAATGGACTTGCTCTTTGCTTTACTTTAAGAGGCCACGAGCAACCTGACACCAGTGATTGTGGCAGAGCATCTGTGAAGATATGGTCCCATGGCACACATCAATTGAGGGTGTTGTATGTGGCAGAAGTTAAAAAATTTTAGGAAGATAATATAACACCACCACCAAGGACAAACTTGCCCTGAGAGTCAGACTCTTCCTTTTGCCTTTATTGTTTATTATGTTGCTGTTTCTCCCATTGTATTTTGATACTCCAGTGATTAATTCAATAGACTCATCTTAAAATTTGCTAAGTGGCTTTTGTAATCTTCTGTCAACAGAGGAGCCCCCTCTCGTGCTTCAATACTATTGTAGAGAATTTATTTTGTATTATTTGGTCTAAAATATGGACTGTTGGCACTAACTCTACCATGAAGAGTTTGTAGGAAAAGTTCTTACCTATAATGAAAGCCATGAAAAGAAGTGATATGCAGTGATTTAAGTGGCTTTTTCATCCTATTTGTATGTTGTGCCACAGTTTTCAAACTGTCTTGATTTATATTGCTACAGGTTATACCCATGATGCATTTTATGTTTTAAAATGATCAGTGTTCTTTGTAACTGGCATAAAATGAAAATATAGATGATCTCAATTAAAAGTTGCTATTGCAGTCACAAGTTTGGATTTCTTACAACTTTTTCTTATTCAGTATCTAGCCCTCAGACAATTATGGAGTTATTCTTCCAAGAAGTTGCAAGGAAACATATTATATCTCATCTCTTCTCCCAACCAAAAGCACCTCTGAGTCAAACTGGATTGAACTGGCCTGAAATGATTACTGCAGTTACCAGTTACTTGCTGCAACTTTTGTATCCTTTGCTTAAAACTCTCTTCTATCTAAATAGTCCCTGAAGCTTTTATTCTACCTGTTTAATGAAGATTTCTTTTCTCTTTTTCCCCCCTCAGTGCTAGGGCTCAAACCCAAGACAGTACATGCCAAACAAGTGTTATAGCATATAGTACTTCCAGCCCTGTAAGGAAGCTCTTCATTTCTTTCTTTCTTTGAGACAGGATCTCACTATGTAACCCTGACTGGCCTGGAACTTGCTATGTAGAACAGGCTAGCCTGGAACTCACAGAGATGTGCCTGCCTCTGTCTCCTGAAGCTAGGGACAAAGATTCCTTTTGGTTGTGAGCCTGAACCTTTAAGGGCTGCAGTCAGCTCTCCAGCCCTGAATGAAGATTCTTTAAATGAGGTTGAGGGACTAGAGAGGTGGCTCACCAGTTAAGAGAAAGTGCTGCTTTTGCTGAAGACTCAAGTTCAACACCTGCATAAGGCAGCTCATCATTGCCTGCAACTCCACCTCTAGAGGATCCAACACCTTCTGGCCTCTGCAGACAACTGCTCTCATGTGCATATACCCCACACAGAGACACATACACATAATTGGAAACAAAAGTAAATCTTTAAATATAATAAAATAGGGGCTGGAGAGATGGCTGAGTGATTAAGAGTACTAGCTACTCTTGCAGAGGATCAGTATTTGGTTCCCAACACCTACAAGGTGGCTAAGAACTGTCCATAACTCCAGTTGTAGGGGATTCAACACCCTCTCCAGATCTCTTCAGGCATTTCATGACACGGGTGCACTTACCTACATGCAGGCAAAACACTTCATACACATAAAATGAAAAATTATTATTATTATTATTTTCGATCTTTTTGAGACAGGGTCTCCCTGTAATTACAGCTGGCCTGGAACTCACTATGTAGACCAGGCTGGCCTTGAACTCACAGAGATTCACCTGTCTCTGCCTCCCAAGGGCTGGGACTAAAGATGTGCACCACCACACACAGCATAAATCAATTTTATTAAAAACCCTTTTTGGTCTTTTTGAAACAGGGTCTTCCTGTAGCCACAGCTGGCCTGGAAACTCACTATGTAGACTAGGCTGGCCTCACCGTCACAAGATCCACCTGCCTCTGCATGAGTGGCTGGGATTAAAGGAATACATTACCATGTCCAGCAATTTTAAGAAACTTTATTATAAATAAATAAAATGAGATTGGATGCTTAATCCCCAAATAAGAGATGATGATAGTGTGTGTGTGTGTGTGTGTATACACACACACACACATATACATATACTTTTGTTTTTTCTCATCTTATTGAGACAGGATCTTCCTATAGCCTCAGTTGGCCTAGAACTTGCTATGTAGACCATGCCGGCCTCAAACTCACAGAGATCCTCCTGATTCTGCCTCCTGAGTGCTGGGATCAAAGGCATGTGCCACCATGCCTAGCGATAGTATTTATTTTAAGATATTCCAGGTTTGGTTTAGTTTAGTTTACACGCACAGGTGTTTTTGTTGTTGGTTTTGTTTTGACGGGATCTCAGTGTAGCCCTGACTGACCTGGAACTTGCTGTGTTGACCAGGCTGGCCTCAACCTTATACAGAGAGATCTGCCTACTTTTACCCCCCAAGTACTGGGATTAAAGGTATGCACCATCACATCTGGCACACTTTGCTTTGTTTTTCATGCATATGAGTATTTGCCTGCATGCATGTAAGTACACCCTCGGAGGCCAGAAGAGGGCATCACGTCCCCTAGAACTGGAGTTACAGAGGGTTGTTAGCCACCATGTGGGTACTGTGGGACTCAAACCCAGATCATTTGGAAGAGTAGCCAGTGCTCTTAACTATTGAGCCATCTCTCCAGCCCCCGGCAGACTTTTTAAAAGATTTTATTTTTATATGTATATGTGTGGGCATGAGCAGGCATTCACAGAGGCCAGAGGCATTAGATACCCCAAAAGCTAGAGGTTGGAGTTACAGATTGTTGTAAGCCACTCAACACACAGGTGCTGGGAATTGAACTCGGGTCCTCTGGAATAGCAACAAGTGCCGTTAGCTGCTGAACCATCTCATACCTATCTTTTGGAAGCAGGGTGTCTCATTTAACCTGATGCTCACTGATTGTCTAGATTGACTGGCCAGCAAGCTCTGGGGATCCACCACCTGTCTCCCATAACCTATTCCTCCTCCACTACCACATTCCCGTTTTCACACCAGGGTTACAGACGTGGACTGCCACACCCAGCTTTTACTTGTTGCCTGGAATCCAAACTCAGGTCCTTAGGCTTCCCCAATGAGCACTTTTACCAACCTGAGTCACTGCCCCAATCCCTTTTTTTGTTTTTTTCTTTTCTGTGTAGGCCAAAAGTCAACCTTGGGTGTTGTTTGTCAGGTATCATCCACCTTGGTTTTTTTTTTTGTTTTTTGACAAGGATTTCACTGGTCTGGAGTTCTCCCAGTGGCTAGGTTGGGTAGCCAGGCATTGAGCTCCAGGGATCTGCCTGTCTCTGCTTCTCCAATGCCCAGTGCCAGGATTATAAGCATGCACTACCTCAGCTTGCTTTTTCTTTTCTTCCAGGTTCTAGGAAGCAAACTCAAGGCCTCCTGTTCTCTTGACAAGCACTTTACTGACTGAGCTGTCTCCCCGCCCCCAGGGTTTTTCTTGTTTAGTTTTGTTTTTAATTAAACTCTTTTGTAGACTCCACAGAGTTTGATGCCTAATAATGTATATATTTTAATTTTCCCCAAAATACTGAAAGCCCAGTTCCTTAATCTAGTGACTAGATGGCCCAGCAATCCTGGTTGTCTCTTTCTAGAATGTTTGATGGGAAATTGCCAGTATGTACAATTGCAGGTGAGTTTTGTTGAACATTTCACTTTACCATTTTTTAAAATATTTTATTTTTTATTTTATGTGTATGATTGTTATGCCTATAGGTAGGTAAGTGAACCCATGTCATGCAGTGCCCACAGAGGACAGAAGAGGCTGTTGGAACCCCTGAAACAGGAGTTAGGGACAGTTGTTAGCTGCCATGTGAGTGCTGGGATTCAAACCCGGGTCTTCTGCAAGAACAGTGTTAACTGCTGAGCCATCTCTCCAGGCCCTTATTATTTTTATTTTATGTTTATGAATGTATTGCCTGTATGTGTATAAGTACACCTGTGTCATTCAGTACCAGCGGAGTCAGAAGAGGGCTCTGGATTCCCCTGGAACCGGAATTACGGACAGTTGTTAGCTACCATGTGGGTGCTGGGAATCAGGTCCTCTGCAAGAGCAGTGCCCCTAACCTCCCTGAGCCATCTCTCCAGCCCACCATTCTTTTTTGTTTTTAATTATGTGTATGAATGTATTGCCTGCGTGTATGTGAGTGCACCCATGTCATGCAATGCCACAGAGGTCAGAAGAGGGCTTCAGATTCTCCTGGAACTGGAGTTAAGGATAGTTCGTACCTGGGTCCTCTGCAGGAACAGTCAGTGCTGTTAACCACTGAGCCATCTCTTCAACCCCATTTTTAAGATTTATTTTTATTTGTATGTATGTATATGTATGTATGCCACATGTGCAGATACCCGTGGAGACTAGAAGAGGGTGTTGGATTCCCTGGAGCTGGAGGTACAGGTGTTATGAGCCACCTAACATGGGTGCTGGGAATCGAACTTGAGTCTGCTGGAAGAACAAGAAACACTATTAACTGCTGAGCCATCTCTCCAGCCCCACATCTTAGCATTCTTAGGAAGAAAGAATTGAATTTGTGAGTGTGAATGTTAATTAAATTTTAGTTGGGCTAGTAGCAAGAATCACAAAATTAAATTTGATTGTATAAGACATACCCCCAAAAAATTGTTCTCTCTCTCTCTATCTCTCTCTCTCTCTCTCTCTCTCTTGCTCACTAGGGATTGAACCTAGGGCCTATGTGCGCTAAACAAGAGCTCTATCACTGAGCTGTACTGGGCCCTGTTTTGACTTTTTGCTGTTTGTTTTTGTTCTCTTTTTGAGATGAAGTCTCACAGTGTAGGCTAGGCTGGTCTTGAACTCACAGAGATCCCCCTATCCCTCCCTCTTGAGTGCGGGAATTAAAAGTGTGCACTACCACACTGCCATACTCAGTGCCTTCTGCTGTTTTAAGACAGAATCTCACTATGTTGTCTAGGCTGACATTGAACTCATTCTGAGTACTGGCAACAAGGCCCAAAGGATAACGGTGCTTGCTGCCAAGTCTGACAAACTGAGCTTACTCCCCAAGACCCAGTAGCTTACAGAGCCATAGTCATGCAGCTTTATAAGTCTTCTGCTTCTAGAAAATTATAACTTTCTTCCCCCACCCCCTTTTCTGAGACTTGGCTTTACTCTTCTCCACAGCTCCCCTCCTTGTCATGTGACTGGCCTCTATGCTGGCTTAACTCAAACAGCATGGCTCTTCCTCTTTCCAGCAACTGCCAAAATTTATAGTTTGCCCTCCCTGGGGTTTTTCTTTTAGTTTTTTTTATTTTTGTGGGGTTTTGGGGTTTGTTTGAGACAGGGCCTCCCTGTAGCCCCAGCTGGTTGAAACTTGCTATGTAGAGCAGGCTGCCCTTGATCACACAGAGATCCACCTGCCTCTTCCTCCCAAATGCATCAGCGGCCTGGCCAAAGTTAAATTCTTGTTGTTAGGTTCTCTTTATTATAAAACATAATATTTATATATAGATCCTTTATTAGACTGTAGTCACTGAATGAGAAACAATAAAAAGAGGCAATTGCTTAGATGTGAAGTATGTATGTTTACACTAGTGTGTTTCTGAACTCCTGTTTGCTTGCTTGCTTTGTTTTGGCATGAGGGGAGTCCTGCTATTTTGTCCACGACGGCTTTAAACACTTGGGCTCATAAGCATGCACTACCATACCTGGCTCTGTTTGCTTTCTTTTGGTGTCTAGCCTATTATAAAAATGCACTAAAGGATTAGTTTTTAATCTCTAGGGATTTCTGAAAATTAAGCTTTGTATTGATCACTTTCTTCACCCTCTGAAGAAGTGACTGTCCTTTAGTGTTTATTTTAATCAGGAAATTCTTTCTTGCCTTTTAGGACTATATTCAACTGCTGCATCCCTGGTGTCAAGTCAATGTTGGTTCCTGCCGATTTATGCTGGGACGGTGTTACCTCGTTACAGGAGAAGTCCAGAAGGTAAGATGCGTTGGAGTGGTGAGCAAATTTGAGCAAGGAGACATTTGGTTTCCATCTAACTAGATATAGGGAGTGAGAGGTACAGAATCCTCAAGAAAAGGATGAAGAAGCCTGACCAGTAAAGGCTATAATGCACATGCTGAATCAATTTCTTTTACCTCGTTAGTTAGTACATGGGAAAGAAGAAAACATAAAAACCCTTCTGCTGCAGCCAGTACAGGTGTTTTTAGGAATTAGGAGTTGTGTTTTTGTAAGTTGAAATTACTTAAAGATTCTCATAGTGAACAATCATGGGCCCGCTAGTCAGACTCTACAGCTGGTAGCATGCTGCTGTATTGTTTCATTACATATCTTTTCCTTCTTTCCTTTTTTCTTTTTTTTCCCTCTTCTTTCCTTTTTCTTCCTTTTTTCTCTCATAGATACATGATCCTGGTATAGAACTCCAACTCTGTATCCAAAATGTATTTAGATGTTTTGCCTGCATGTATATATGTGTACCACATACATAACTGGCCTGCAGAGGCCAGAAGAGGGCATTGGATCCCTGGAACTGGAGTTACAGATGGCTGTGCGTTGCCATATGGGTGCTAGGAACTGAACCCAGATCCTCTGTTAAGAGCAGTAAGTGCTCTTAACCACTGAGCCATCTCTCCAACTCCAAGATACCTTGTTAAAGTTTACAGGGGTATGTGAGATACTGGGGATTAAATCCAGGACCTTCACGTGCTAGCTAAGTTCACTTCCACTGAGCTATATCCTTGATTTTTTTTTTTTTTTGATGAATAAATAGATTTATATCCTGAAAATCCAAGATTAAAGTGTTGATAGACCTGGCTTAATTCTGGTGACCCCCTTCTTTTCATTATTAATTTTAGTTTGAGATAATGGTCTTGCTAAACTGCTCAGCCTGTCTTTGAACTGTCCTGCTGCCTCAGCCTCTCAGGTAGTTGAGATTTCATGCATCCACCATATTACATGCCATGTATGTTTGCTTTTTATTTTTATTTTATGTGTATGAGTGTTTTGCCTGCATGTAAGTGTACCCCTGTCATGCAATACCCATGGAGGTCAGAAGAGAGCACTGGATACCCTGGAACTGGAGTTACAGACAGTTGTTGCTGTCATGTGGATGCTGGAACCAAACCCGGGTTCTCTGCAAGAGCAGCCAGGGTTCTTAACCGTGTAGCCATCTCTCCAGCCCCATGTGTTTGTTTTGTAATAATAACATTTTCTTAATATTTTATTTACTATTTTTATTTTATGTGTATGAATGTTATACCTGCATGTAGGTAAGTGCACCCGTGTCATGCAATGCCCATGGAGGACAGAAGAGGCTGTTGGATCCCCTGGAACTGGAGTTAGGGACAGTTGTTAGCTGCCATGTAGGTGCTGGGAATCGAACCCAGGTCCTCTGCAAGAGCAGTCAAGTATTCTTAACCGCTGAGCCATCTCTCCAGCCCCAGTAATAACATTTTAAAAGTCAGAAAAGGGTCAGCAAGATGGCTCTGTGGGTAAAGATAATTGCTGACAAGCCTGACAAACTGAGTTTGATCTTTAGAGCCCACGTAGTGGAGAGAACCGACTCCCACAAGTTGTCCTCTTACGTCCACGTGTGTACTGTGGCATAAGCACACACACACATATCCTACATAAATGTGTGTGTGTGTGTGTGTGTGTATATATATATATATTTAGATGAGAGATTTTTATTTTTAATTATTTACTTTTTTTTTGTCTTTTTGAGACAGGGTCTCCCTGTAACCCCAGCTGTCCTGGAACTCACTATGTAGACCAGACTGGCCTTGAACTCACAGAGATCCGCCTGCCTCTGCCTCCCAAGTGCTGGGACTACAGGCGTGTACCACCACGCCTGGCTACTATTTTCTTTTTAATTTAATGTGTATAAGTGTATTGCTTGCGTGTAAGTGCACCTCTGTTATGCAATGCCCATGGAAGTCAGAAGAGGGTGTTGGAGTCCCTGGAACTAGAGTTATAGACAGTTGTTAGCTGCCATGTGGGTGCTGGAAATTGAGCCAGTGCTCTTAACTGCTGAACCATCTCTTCATCCCTAAGAGAGATTTTTAAGAACAATTTGAATAATGCCTCAAAATTTAGATTTGGAAGAGAATGTGAATGTAGTATAGATTGTCTTAAGCAGTTTTGTTTCTGTTTTGGTCTTTCCTAGTGCATACCCCTGATTTATGCAACTAGAATTGGAGTGACTTTTGTAAGGCAGCTTATATATTTTATTTCTTCAGGCTGTAGAATGTTTCTGTCAGGCAGCCTCTGAAGTGGGTAAGGAAGAATTCTTAGATCGCTTGGTCCGCTCGGAGGATGGAGAGATTGTGTCCACCCCCAAGTTGCAGTATTATGACAAGGTACAGTGTCATGGTCTGGGCCTTTTTTTTCTTTCTTCGTTTTTTTTTGTGTGTGTGTTGGTTTTTGAGGCAGGGTCTTACCATATAGTCCTGGCTGACCTGAAAAACTGGCTGTGTGGACCAGGCTAGCCTCAAACTTAGAGAAGTCTGTCTGCCTTTGCTGGGATTAAAGGCATGGGCCACCACTCCTGATACAGTCTGGCCCTTCTTAAAGCACCCTGTGCAGAACTGCATCTAAAATGCATTGCCTTGGTATTTAGTTGTTACCTAGAACTCCAAGTGAAAGCCAGGCATGGTGGTACACACCTGTAGTCCCAGCACTTGGGAGGCAGAGGCAGCAGGTGTCTATGAGTTCGAGACCAGCCTGGTCTACATAGTGAGTTCCAGGCCAGCTGGGGCTACAGGGAGACCCTGTCTCAAAAAGACAGGAAAAGAAAAAAAAAAAATCAAGTGAAAACAAATATGGACTTTCATGGAAAAATCAAAGATTTCTCTCACTGAAGGAACCAAATGTTGTGTCGATACGGGTTTGGCTGGTACTTGGTCCTTTTACAGGTGGTCATTTGGCACTCTGAAGTAGGCATCTCAGGGAAGAGTCAGAGCATCTCAGCCAGGCTGGGGATAGATAATACAGTCTTCACTTGTCCCTGATCAGTAGGTTACATCTACCTAGGCAAATAGATTTTCACATTTTATTGATTCATATAAAACTCTTCCTTCAGTGTAGTTTAAAATTTTCCACTCAAAACGACAAGTGTAGTGGCATTCTCCTGGGAGGCTTAGGCAGGAGAATCACATGAGACTAGGAGTCCAATGCCAGCCTGGACAGTATAGTGAGACTCCATCTCAAAAGAAAAAAAAGAAGGCTGGGAATATAGCTCAGTAGTATATGTGAGGCCCTCAGTTTAATCCCTGGCACCAAAAGGAAAAAAAGTTAATGCAGCCACAAAGAAACAGGATTGAAACCAATATTAACTGTGGAAAAGATACACCTGGCACTTCTGCGCTTGGCACAAACTCTTCATCAGCTACATTACAACAGTGGCAGTTTGTAATCAAGTCTGACAAGTCAGCCAAAAACACTTGGAGTTTTTAAATAAAATCTGAGTGTACTTTGAGCCATGAAATGTTATTTCAAGATAGTATGAAACCATGAAAAATTTCAAGATATTACACATCATGATCAACTACAGAAGAATATAATTCTGTTAAAAACCACTTTAGGGGCTAGAGAGATGGCTCATTGGTTAAGAGCACTGGCTGCTCTTGGAGAGTACCTACATTTAGTTCCCAGCACCCATATGGCAGCACACAACTGGCCATAACCCCAATTCCAGGGGATTTGTCACCCTCTTCTAGCTTCCATACGCATTACACATATGAGGTACGCTTAAGTACATGTGGGCAGAGCACTCATACACATAAAACAAAATTAAGCTGGGTATGGTGGCACACGCCTTTAATCCCAGCATTTGGGAGGCAGAGGTAGGTAGATCTCTGAGAGTTCCAGGCCAGCTGGGGCTACAGGGAAACCATGTCTCAAAAAAAGACCAAAAAAAAAAAAATTAGAAAATTTATGTCATTAATTTCAATAATAAATATATACTTAAAATTGCACATACTTAATAAAAGACTATATCATTATTTTTCAGTGAGTAATATTCTAGAAATAATCTAAGTGTCCGTTAACATAGATCTAACACTGAATTAAGATGTATTCGTTCAGTGGACTGCAACATAGCAGTTGAGTGAACAGTTGCTGTATACCTTGATGTGATGTATGTTGGTATTACAAACGTGTTGCACAAAAGAAGGCAGGTACACAAAACCACACTGTAAGATTCTACATTTTCATAAAGTTAAAAACAAAACTATTAATAGTCATTATGGCAAGGCATGGTGGTGGATGCTCATAATCCTAGCACTCAGGAGGCTGAGGCAGGAAGATTACTAGTTTAGAGCCAGACTTGATCTCGCAACAAGACTCTCCATATCTCAAAAATCAAAAGAGGCCGGGCATGGTGGCGCACACTTATAGTCCCAGCACTTGGGAGGCAGAGGCAGGCGGATCTCTTGAGTTCAAGGCCAGCCTGGTCTACATAGTGAGTTCCAGGACATCTGGGTCTACAGGGAGACCCTGTCTCAGAAAGACAAAAAAAAAAAAAAAAACTGCAAAAGAGAGAAAAAAATCTATTTCCCCTTAGGTTCTACGTCTCCTGGATGTTGTTGGGTTGCCAGAACTGGTTATTCAGTTGGCTACATCAGCAATAACTGAAGCAGGGGATGACTGGAAAAGTCAGGTAAAAATTAACTAATTTGGTTGTTTTCCTTGAGGTGTGTTATGGATGTGATATTTTAATTTGTATTGCTCTTTTTTATTTGTTCCAAATTTGATTTAGGCTACTTTAAGAACATGCATTTTCAAACATCATTTGGACTTGGGTCACAATAGCCAAGCATACGAGGCCTTAACACAGATTCCTGATTCCAGCAGGTAATCTATCTCCCAGTCTTTCTTAGAGAAGACCATTTCCAGCCCTGTTCTACTCACTAAGGCAGTTTACCCTTGTGATCCTCTCCTCTTCTAGGCAGTTAGACTGTTTACGGCAACTGGTGGTGGTTCTTTGTGAACGCGCTCAGCTGCAGGATCTTGTAGAATTTCCCTATGTGAATCTACATAATGAGGTAATTTGTCTACTCATGTCTAGTAACAAGTCTTGTGGGTGCCATGACTGCTACTAACCAATTTCTCATCTTCCATTAGGTTGTAGGAATAATTGAATCACGTGCCAGAGCAGTGGACCTTATGACTCACAATTACTACGAACTTCTCTATGCTTTTCATATCTACCGTCACAATTACCGCAAAGGTGAGCAACCAAACTGGAAACTCAATGTTGGAGGCAACTGTTAGTTCAATCCTTTCCAAAAATACTCTGTGTTGGGCCAGGCACGATAGCAAACGTCTTGTAGTCCCAGCACTTGGGAAGCACAGGCAGGCGGATCTCTGTGAGTTTGAGGCCAGCCTGGTCTACATAGCAAGTTCCAGGCCAGCTGGGGCTAGTTCCAGGACAGCTGGGGCTACAGGGAGAATAAATAAATAAATAAATAAATAAATAAATAAATAAATAAATAAATACTGTGTGTTGGATTTATGTTGTAATTTTATTTAAGTATAAGATTAACTTTACCCTTTTGATGATTGCCTGAAAAACTTAAAAATATATTTACTCCCATTCTAGAACTTCTTTTTTGGTCTTTTTTTGAAACAGGGTCTCCCTGTAGCCCCAGCTGGCCTGGAACTTGCTATGTAGACCAGGCTAGCCTTGAATTCACAGAGATCCACTTGCCTCTGCAGAGTGCTGGTATGAAAGGCATGCACTGCCATGTCCAGCTTCTAGAACTTTTTCAAGCGATTTCACTTATAACTAATCTTGTGTTGCTTTGCTATTTCAGATTTCAAATTTAGCTGCCTCCCTTTTTAAAATTTAATTTCTTAGAATAAAATCCTGATTAAATGTACCTAGGTCATCTGAATATAATACATAATATTACTTGTTATCGATTTGTTTTGTTTTGTTTTGAGACAGGGTCTCACTATGTAAGTCTGGCTGGCCTGGAACCCACAGAGATCCACCTGTCTCCCTCAAGAGTGCAGGGACTAAAGGCATGCATCACCATGCCTGTACCATTGGTGGTTTTGAATTGTATTCCTTCGATTTAATGTAGAACCCCTTAAAAAAGGAGAAAATTTGACATTTACAAGTTATCAAATAAGGACTAGGATAGCAGATCAGTGGTTAAAAGCACGTGCTGCTCTTGCAAAGGCCTGGGTTCAGTTCCCAGAATCTATATAAATAATTCATTTAAAAGCACTTGCTGGGTGTTGGAGAGATGGCTCAGCAATTTAGAGCGCTGGCTGCTCTTACAGAGGACTGAGGTTTCCAGCATCCACATGGCTAACAACCGTCTCTGACTCTAGTTCCAGGGGAATTTTATGCCATCTGTGACCTCTGAGGGCACTGCAGAACACTGGTGCACTTATACACACACAGGCAATACACTCATACACATAAACTAAAAATAAATAAAAAATATATATATTTAGCTGGGCGTGGTGGCGCGCGCCTTTAATCCCAGCACTCGGGAGGCAGAGGCAGGCAGATCTTTGTGAGTTCAAGGCCAGCCTGGTCTACATAGTGAGTTCAAGGATAGCTGGGGCTACAGGGAGACCCTGTCTCAAAAAGACCAAAATATATATATATATTTAAAAGCACTTACTATACAGTCATAGAGACTGTAGTTGAAGTGCCAGCACACACGTAACAAGCTGGGTATCCAGTGTCTGCCTATAACCCTGCCACTGAGGTAGGCAAGGGAAGGAGTATCACTGGGGTTTGCTGGCTTCCAACCTAGCTGAGAAAACTAAAGCCTCAGATTCAGAGACTAGAGAGATGGCTCAGGGGAAAAAGGCACATGCCACACAAACCTGTGACCTGAGTTTGATCCCCAGAACCCACATAAAGATAGGAGAGAACTGACTCCATCACGTTGTCCTCTGACTTACACACACACACACACACACACACAAAATAAGATTTTTAAAATAATTTTGTTTTAAAGATTTTTTTTTTTTTGAAGCAGGGTTTCCCTGTAGCCCCAGCTGTCCTGGAATTTACTATGTAGACCAGGCTGGCCTTGAACTCACAGAGATCTGCCTGCCTCTGCCTCCCAAGTGCTGGGACTACCGCGCCTGGCTTTTAAAGATTATTTTTGTGTGTATGAATGTTTGCATGTATGTATGTATATCATGTGTGTGCCTGGTGCCCTTGGAGGCCAGAAGAGGGTGTTGGATGCCCTGGAACTTGAGTTACAAACAGTTATGAGACCCTCTGTGGGTGCTGGGAACCAAATATAGGTCCTCTGCAAGATCAAATCAGCAAGTGCCCTTGACCGCTGAGCCATTTCTCCAGCCCCTGGAAATAAAATTTTCAATAAAAGGAATATGTACACATTGATAGTGGAAGGCACTTGATCCCCTCTTCTGGCCTCTGTACACACACACATGCTTGCATATACACTTAACACACACAAAAATAAATTAGTTTAGTAGACATCCATATAATTTTAAATATTTTTATTTTATGTGTGAGTATATTGCCTGCATGAGTATAAGTGCACCTATGTGATGCAATGCCTGCGGAAATCAGAAAGCAACGTAGGATTCCCTGAAGCTAGAGTTACAAATCATTGTTGTTAGCTGCCATGTGGGTGCTGGGAATCCAACCCAGGTCCTCTGCAAGAGCAGTCAGTGCTCTTAACTACTGAGCCATCTCTTCAGCCCCAATATCCTTCTTTGGAGGGGCAGGAATTTTCTTTTTATTTTATGTGTATGCATGCATTGCCTGCATGTAAGTAAGTGCACCTGTGTCATGCAAAGCCTACGGAGGACAGAACAGGCTGTCAGATCCCCTGGAACTGGAGTTACGGACAGTTGTTAGCTGCCATGTGGGTGCTGGGATTCAAACCTGGGTCTTCTGCAAAAACAACCAGACTGGCCTTGAACTCAGAGAGATCTGCCTGCCTCTGCCTCCCAAGGCCTGGGACTAAAGACATGTGCCACCATACCACACCTGGCTTGTGTCTGTGGTTTTTAAGTTAAACTCAGTTTTGTCCTAAATGTTAATATTGCATGTATAACAAATCATCTTCGTGTATCTCTAAAGAAACATTTTTGTCTAATTCATTTTATTTGTCTCATAGCTGGTACAGTGATGTTTGAATACGGTATGCGTCTTGGCAGAGAGGTTCGAACTCTGCGTGGACTTGAGAAGCAAGGCAACTGTTATCTGGCTGCTATTAATTGTTTACGACTTATTCGTCCAGAGTATGCATGGATTGTACAACCTTCCTCTGGTGCAGTGGTATGAAAACTCCTTTTTAGGATTTCATTTATTTTTATTTATATGTGTATGCGTGTTTTGCTTGCATGTATGTAGGTGCACCATACAAGCAATGCCTGTGGAGGTCAGAAGAGGGCATCAGAACCCCAGAATCCCTGAAACTGGAGTTAGCTGCCATGTGGGTACTGGGAAACAAACCTGGGTCCTTTGTGCAAGAGCAGCCAGTACTCTTACTGCTGAGCCATCTTTCCAGTCCCATTTTGGGGAGAATTTTTTTTTAACTTTTAAAAAAACTATTGAGGCCAGGCGTGGTGGTGCATGCCTTTAATCCCAGCACTTAGGAGGCAGAGGCAGGTGGATCTCTGTGAGTTCCAGGCCAGCTGTGACTACAGGGAGCCCTTGTCTCAAAAAAAAAAAAAAACAAAAAACTTTATTGAGAATTTTATACATGCATATAAGGTGTTTTGATCAAAGCCACACCCACTCCCTCCCCTCCAACACCTCCCATATCTCCCCATCACTTTTTTCTGGCTTTGTGTTTTTTCGTTCTGTTTCCTCTTGCCTTCCTTCCGTCTTTCTTTCTTTTTTAATGAGGCTTTTTGCTACTCTAACATTACCCCCTCTGAAGAGATAACCCTAAAATCTTTTAGAGATTAGATAAGAGCTCCCAAATACTTTTGACATTTTTGGCCTTTGGAACAGAATATGTTGCTAAGAGGCCCAAGGACATTTTGACTTACAGCCAAGAAACTGGCTACTTTTCTTAGGGGTCTTTTTTACTCTAATTGCCTAGCCAATTCCTACCTCCTATTCTACCACCCTCTGAAGAGGTTACCCAAATTGCCAATAGGGAATCCGGATTCAGACCTCTCTGGCTTCTTCCATGTTGAACAGGGACACAGGGTGAGGCAATTGGAGTACCCCTTCAGTGGGTCTATCTAAAAGACTCCCAAATTGCATAACTCTTATCTGTAGAGAGAAAAGAAAGTCCTTGACTGGTGAATAGGGGATGTGAAGGAGAAGTAAAGGCAAGAGTAGTTAGTTAGCATTACAAGTTCTAGACAGAGAACCAGAAAAAAGTCAGAACAGGGCAAATTTCAAATGTTCATGTGAGAGTCCATTGGAATTTCTTGACGAGAGCTTCCAAAAGCATCCCTTTATTAATTTCCTCCTCATTTTTCTTTTATCTGCCAAGTGATGGACTCGGGATTTGTTTTCAGGCACTTGGATAGCTGTTGGAGTTGCTAGAATCAGTGTCAGTGTCAATTCCCTCTCAAAGGCTTCTAGATAGGGGTAGAAAACAAATTTAGCCATCATTTTAGAACAATAGCTGGTTGTCTCCCTTAGCTACATGTGGGCACTACAGTATTGCAGACCAAGATTTGAAGTCTTACATCTGAGCAGCACTTTCTGGTTACTAACAAAATCATCGATGAGAAATAATTGTCTAAATAACTTTTATATGGACTTAAGCCTAATGTCTGGGAAGTGTAATCCCTTGAACTCTTAAGGAAATATACTGATGACTTTACTCTTTGGTTATACTTTCCTTTTGGGTGTTTAAGACCATACAATTGGCCCAAATAAACCAATTTATTTTTACTCTTAAGGTCGTTGGAGGATCTGTTCCTCAGGGGTCACATGGGCTTGGGAGGAAGCCCTGGCTCCTTTTACCAGTTTCATGTATGTGAAGATAAGTCAAAGGTCCTACTTGACCATGGCTGGCTTCACTTGGAGGAAGTGAAGTGTTTCCTTTGAGTTGACCCTCCTCTTTGTAGACTGAACACTGGTTAAAGTCCATCTGGTGGGGTCTCTATAGCCTCCCTGAACAGGAAGACAGGTGGCTCACCATAGTTACAGGACATTTTGAGAGATGCTCCATAGTCTTGGGGAAAATTTTCAATCATACAATCCATTTGGTTTTTCTTTTCAAACCACCTCATTTTGCTTCATTTTATTTTCTTCTGAGCATGCTGGTCATGGTGGCACACCTGTAATCCCAGCATTCGGGAGGTGAGGACAAGGGGAATCAGGAGTTTAAGGCCAGCCTGGGCTACTGTTCTAGTCTGTTTCTCCATTGCTGTGACAAAACACTCTGACCAATACCAACTGGGGGAGGAAAGGGTTTATTTGACTTATGTCTCCCGGGTCACAGAGAGAGCAGCTGAGGCTTGGCACCCTGAGAGGCCAGAAAAGGCCAGCCTAGCTACAGGAGATCCTGTATCAATAAAGTGCCTAATAAGTGACAGATGCTTTTATTTTAGTTTTGTTTGTTAATGCAGTCAATAGTTACTGTTTGAGAAGGGATGCACTTTGGTTTCTGTTTACTAAGCTGTTACCCAAGGTGATTTCTATAGAGAAGAAATCTGTAACCACCTTCTAGGTAACATGTGGTACATAAGTAAGCCATCTTGGGCAACAGCCCATTTCTTTGATAGTTACAGTACCTCTGTGAAAAGTTATGCTAGTTGAAGTAAAAATAATTTCTATAGAGAGAATTTAAGCATTAAAGCTTCTAAGTCACAGCTAGTGGTATAAAAATAAAATAGTTATCTTTACAATTAAGTTGCTGGTTTTGTCTTTCAGTCTGATCGCCCTGGAGCATCCCCTAAGAGGAATCACGATGGAGAGTACACAGCTGCCCCAAGTAAGTCAGGACCTTGGCTGGGCAGGTGTTATTGTTATAGTCCAACAAACTAAGATACATATGTTATATATGTTGCAGTGGTTATATGTAGTATAGACAGTTATGTTGTAACAGTAGTTACATATTACAGATATTACACATAGTAGTTACATATGATAAAATTCCATCCTTTTAGTTTAGTTCCACCTTTCTGATCTGCTAAAGGTTCTTTCATGTTTTGAACATGCAATATGGTAGTATAAGCAATGAAAATGATTTTTTTAAATTATTTATTCAATAACCACATACTTAGAAGAAGCATTTCACTACAACAGCATTGAAATATTCAATAACAATTTCCAGAGCTAAGATGCATCTCCTTCAAAATTGGCTGTAAATTTTTAGGTTTACAGTT